AATGGCATGAAGATATAAGGAGAGTTGCTACTCCTTGCTACTGCTTTATGTCAAGACAGATGTTTCTTCATGTTTTATGGAAATCTAGAGAGGCTATAAAAGCAAAACAAAGCACAGGTCTGTGTGATTTGCAATTTTTTTTTCAAAGCAAACATGGTCTACAAACAGGATCTTCACAACTAAAAGACAAGTCATTTTGGTGCCTGGCCTCAATGCTCAAAACAACGAGACATTCGTCAGGCAATTTCACAAAATTGGTTGAACAAATGTCCAAATGACTGACTGTTATTTCCAGCACTGGAACAGCCACTTTTTGTTACCTTGCAATCTCAAAAGTTTTCCTCAAATTTTCTTCACTCTCTCCTGGATGTGGCCCAAACACATCTGTGCCATTCAGTGTTATTAACTGTGCTCTGCACTGTGAAGTTACACTCTTAACAAGGAGAGTCTTCCCAACCCCTGGAGCTCCTTGCAGTAAAATTCCCTTGGGGCACTCAAGTCCTAAATGACCAAAGCACTTTGGATACTGAAAAGGATAGCTTAACACTTCTTGAAGTTCCCTCACTGTATCATCAAGACCTGCTAGGACCTCATTGTTCTTGTTTTCAAGCTCACATTCCCTGCTGACTGACTGAACAATAATTTTTGTTTTATCAGTGACCTTCACTGGGTTATCCTCTAGGTACTGGGTCGAGGGTTCTGTGGAGAGTATCAAAATCTTTGCGATTCTTTTAGATGAACTGTGATTGTTTCTAAGCTCCTTCGGCTGAATAACACATCCCTGCATAATGATACAGCCTCTTAATAAATAGCCAGAAACTCTTTCTCTCTTCATTTCTCGTGCAACTTCAGTCAAGTTGTGATCAAAATCTTCAGCTCCTTTGCGAAAAAATAGAGACACAACAACGGTTTTTGCATCCACAGGCTCAACGATAACAATATTCTTTTCTGATATGTTCTTCTTGTAACAAGTATCGTTCATCTTGCACGTATTCGCGTTGTTCGGAAGGGTGACAAGCGAATCATATTGAATAACATTGTCGTTTCCATTAGTTCTTGGCCACAAGGAACAAAATACAAATCCAGAGTCAACTGTCAGTCGAACCGGCGAATTGATCTTTCCGCCAATTGTTTCAATTATCCTTGGTGCAATTCGGCATCTACCAGTGTTAAAATCTTTTGCTTCACAGTAAACACAACTTAGATGAAATTCAGTCGTTTCGTCTGCCATGTTGTTTTGACCATGTGTGTTGCTTCCCTTCTTTGAGGGGTCGTGACAGTGCACGTTTTGTTATGCGAGAATTTGTAAGATCGTAGTGTAATTTTTTATGTTGAGTTAACTGATTGTCATTACCTTATGTAATTTTCTTTCGATGTGCTTACATGTAAGTGTTAATTAGTCAATCTTTGAAAAATACGAAAACCTTTCAATTTTTCGCCTTGACACATTCTCCCTTCCCCTCCCTGGTAAAGAACGATAAAATCACTCTGTAAAGACTGCGGGCTCATAAGGAAGCAAAATGGCGGCAGCGACGACAGCGAGATGTGTGCGAGGTCTGTGGAGAAATCAAGTTGCATCAGCGAGGATTTCAACAAGGCTAACAGCCCAGCCTACAAGTTTATTTTCAAGTGAATCAGGTAAAATTTTAAGGGCGTCTAGAACATTCAGGGAATGGCTCTATATATCAACCATATTGTGGTTTGTTGTAGCAAATCTCCTGGGTATGTACATTGTAAGCTTATGTGGTTACTTGAAATGATATGAACCTCTTATCACCATGCTCTTAGAAAAAAGGTTCGTAACTGGGGGCTTTATATGTAATGCTTGGATTGTTCCGAGGTAAGCTTGATATTTTTAAATAAAGCCGCTTATCTGGGATCGAAAGAGAACCAAGATTTTTAATAGCCCGCTGAACAGGCGGATTAGCGGAACAGACCGCGAAGTGCGAAACACGAGCGCGGAGCGCGAGTCGAAAAAATATCCGCCTGTAGTCACACCATTGTTTATGCTCTTCCAACCAAACGGTTTTTGCTGATTGGTTACTTTCAGCCAGATGACATCAGACGCGAGGAAAAACAAAATGTGTTTAATTGGGGTGACAGGCCTTAGCTCAATGATTAGGTTTATACCTCCTTTGTTCGTTCTGGCACCAGATTATTTCAATTTAGCCAAATTTCTGGGGATGTTCACATCTCATCTGTTTTGTCGTTTGTAAATTGGTTAATTGAGACATTTTTTCGTGCCAATAAATTGAATTGTTTTGTTCTCTCTCATTCTCTCATGCCAATCATTTCAAGGGGGCGGTAGACCATAAACAATGGAGTGACTATAGCTGCATCTGTATTCTTTCATCACTTTGTGATGTACAAGATGTTGACACTATAAGCTGCCCCCGATGTTAGATTAAATTTAAATTACCGAGACTGTTATCCCCAAAATTACTGATCTTTGGAATTTGACAGTAGGTGGCAATTTTATAGTGTGGTAACTGGCTTTCGCGTTTGTACTGAATGTCAGCATAGATAGTGGAGGGAACCCTCCACTAACTATGATGTCAGTGACCATTAGTAGAAGACAAAGTTGGAATATTTGTTTCTAGCTGATCGCCTTCCTGTTCTAGTTGAAACTTGTGGAGTGTCATCCTCTGATTGAATCTCATTGTCCTTTGCTCCTTCTTCCTCCATAGTCCTAGTGTCACCACTGTCGAGGGACTCCACTAGAAGACAGTAGTAAACATCCTGGTCAGGAACAGTTGTATTGTCTTCTTTCTAACTTATAATTTGCAACAGAGCTCAAAATACTGGTTGTCTTGAGTTGACCAGTTGCATTTGTTTTGACAAATTGAAAGGGCAATAGAGGATCTTGTGCACTATAAGTAGCTTTCACAGCGGGGTTCTCAACAGCATACAAGCTCTCGTCGGGTCTGGCCAGATAGAAAGGGGATGTATTGGAGGCTGGCTACCCTTCCTTACACAAACAATGTTACCTTCACAAGTTAAAATTTGTGAAGGTAAAAAACAAAAGACTTCTGGTATGATGGATTGGTCAGAAGAAATCTCTTCCACCGTCTGTGCAAGTCTTGTAAAATCAACCGGCTTTGGATCGCCCACTTTTGTTTCATAACAATTCACAGGCAACGTTCCAGCAGAATGCTTAGTGGTCATGCTGAGCCTTGAGCAAATCTTGGACATCTGTCCCATCTTGCTTGAATTTGGACTGATAAATTATTGACCCGTTACTGTTTGCTACCAGTCCCCGGTGATGCAAACACTCGGCAAAAGTAACCAAACGTGTGACAATTGAGAAAGCAAAGCTATTTTTTGTTATCCCTAAAGCTATCTCAGTTATCCCTTATCCCTATATGATTATTTAGTCAGTTATCCCATATCCCTAAAACCCCTAACAGAGCCTCATAACTATGTGTACATACATGTAGCAGCTGGTTTTCTTTTTTCCTGTAAAGAGACATTTTAAAATATGTTATTCACAACTTGTTGATAGATTTTTGCTTTTTCTTGGAGTTAGCTACCATTTGTATTTAGAAGGCAGGGAAGAGGAGGGAAATAGTAGTTGGGTTTGGAGCCACAGTTGTAATCTAGAAGTCTGGCGTCAAAATCTACTTCCCTGCCCCTAGCCAGAATTGTGTCTGCATTCAAACCTAGTGCCTCATCAAGCTAGGGTGTTATCTCCAGTTTCCACAGCATGAAGGGACTCGGAGTATTTTTACTCCCCCCCCCCGTCATCCCCCAACCTGGTTGGAATTCTAGTCCATCACAGGGCTACTACCAATTTCATTTGCTGTTCAGTATCCATGTATCAACCTGGGTGAAGAGGCAAAGTAAGAGTCATGTGTCTTCACCATTTCACTCAAGAACACAACACAATGTCTCCAGACAGTGTTTGGAATCACTCTGGGGTCCATTGCCTGAAACATAAGGCCTTTGCCCTGCACATAGAATTGCAATTCATGGTTCCAAATTCAGTCCATTCTCACTTTGTACATGTAAATAGCCAACTGGTCCAAAAGTTATTATGAGGTTTTCTGTGTTTCAGATGTCAGGGAGCTTAATTTGGAGAAGCTGACAGTGCTTGTCAATTTGTCATCTTAATTTTATAGATGCATGTTCTGTTCCAATGGATATGCTAAACAACATAAAGAGAATTTACTATAAAAGCTCTGTCCAGTCCCAATGATGAAGAACTTCCCCACCCCACCCCATGTCACTGTAGAATGGTTTTATTGTGCATAAACAGGTAGCCACCGAGTAAACAATAATTTACTCTGGTGAGTTGTTTGCCCTACAAAATTATTTTATTATTATTATTATTATCATTATCATTATCATTATCATTATCATTATCATTATTTTATTATCATTATCATTATCATTATCATTATCATTATCATTATCATTATTATTATTTTATTATTATTTTTTTTGTGGAGAGTATATTTTGGATCTATAATAATATTGGATTCTTATGGTCTGAACTGACGTGCATAGATGACCTAGGTGGCTCCTTGTAATTTTACGATCGCACGCGCGCATAGGACGAAAGCTCAAGTAATCTGTACGCGCTTAAAGGAAACCATCCGTGTTTTCAACATTTTATGACGTTAACACGAGCACAAAAAGAAAAACTGACAGTGAATTTTCTCGCGTTTCCTTCGGTGAAATTCCGTAAAATTTGGCAGACGGGTTCTAAATATTTCACTTTAGTTGGAGCTCGTTTTTCAGGGAAATCTATCTGACCAGTTTTTCCGCAGCGCTAATTGCAATAATTGCGAATTTGTAAAAATCTAAAAGCCTTCCTTTACAAACCCTACTTTTTTCGTGTGTAAAATTCGTATCCCGTCGGGTTTAATGTTCTGTACGTAAAGATTTCACTGAAGGAAATTCAAGAAAATCACAAATAAAGGCATAAAAAAACGGTAAAAGTGTATTTGGTCGGGCATTTATAATTCAAAATTAAAAGCCAAGATTTTAACACAGATGATAGTAACTCAATATATCATCATAGCTTATTACATGTGATAAGTTTGAGAGGACTGAGTGTTAAAACGAAAAACAACTTTTAAAACATAACACTAGCGCACAGAACGCGATAAATCATTACCCTATCATTCTCATCGCTGGAGGTCATAGTCTGTTCAGCATGAAGAATTTTAACTCTCGACCTATAACCGCTTTGCAATTGAAAATCTGCCATTCAGAAAGTTTGCTCAAATCTACATTGGCTAACAATAGAAAATGAATACTCTGAGCAAACAATCGGCTTCAGTCAGACGATACAATACTTTGTGCTGACCAAACCTAAAGATGACTGTCCCCAGAGCTCACAGACAAACCTTGCTCTGATTGGCTGCGATAAATTAAGGACATTCCCCAGTATTGCATTGCGCATCCTTACTGCGCGTAATTCATGGCGTCATCAGCGCGCGTTCGTGCACGCGCACATTGAAAACATGGCGGATTTGCCTTGATATTAAGTTCTGTCAGTTGAACACTAACGAGCTCGGGCACCCCCAAATTTTTTCCAGTCATTTTAATCAACTAATCATTAGCTTTGCGGGAGAAAAGACTGATCGGATTTCTAGTTTTGAAAATTGAATAAATAAGGAAAATAGCAGCTGCACTGTAGTCTTTTCTATTTTGCAGTTTGATAGCCGTTGCAAGRAATTTGGTTCCAATATTTTAACAAGGATTCAGCTGTCTGTCAAAATCAAACTTAAAAAGTTTATTTGTGTCCGACACAAGTATTGACTGTAGTTTGAGGCGTGTTTTATGAGTCTGGGCTCACAAAGAGTTTACAATAACTTGGAATGCGTTCTTGTAATAAGCATTAAATAACGCTAAAATGGGACATTTTCAATGCCTCACTGCCCCTTAACGAGCATGGGCACCCCCCTTTTTTATTTTATAATTAAAGTTCTCATATGATAAATATTCACTGGACTAAGTTTGAACAAAAATCTATGTGCAGTTTTATTTCAGGCGAATTACCTTAAGTTGGTTTGAAACCGTCTCTGACGTCTGCCAGGCAGTCGTAGCGCACGAGAACAAGTCTCGGAAGAACTGTAGTAAGCCACCTTAAATGAAGATTGCTTCGTCATTTGAACCTCATTCTGGCAGTGTGTGGTTGTTAACAAAAAGGCGGCTGCTTCTTTGCGTTTTTGAAATGTCTGTGAAGAGGACTTAGATAAAGTTTTGAACGACTAGTAGATATTC